AATTAAAATTTTGGGTACCATAATATAATAAGGTATGTGTTACCTTATTATATTATGGTACATACACAAAACACTAGATAAGCAACGAAAAAAGTACAATATTGTTTCTATATCTTTTTTATCTGTAGTAATAGCATAGTATCTATAAGTAATAGTAATATAATAATACTTGTACTTCAGAGTATAACTCAAAGTAAAACTAACAATTTAAGTATGCTGATTATAAAATCTTTTGGAAAAACTTTTCTAAATTTATTTGTTTTGTTTATGCTATTCCTCTATTGAAAAACTAATTACAGTTATTAAGAGCCTTCATACAGTAGGTAGTTCTCAATTCGCTAACATTTTTTGTGTAAAATATTACCTACGGCCCCATCCCAGTCCGTCTCGACTCATCCTAATTTACCCGTCCTTTATAATTAAAACGGCTATTTACGAAAAAAGAGAAATCGTTTCTGAACCATAGACTTTTTTATGAATGAAGATGAAGTAGTAAACTCGCCTGCGCCTAACTTATATCCTAGTATACAGCAGGATACCGATAATGAAGCCAGGTCAGTTAATCCATTGTGGTGGATTTTCTAGGAATTAACTACGACAGTTTTCAGGGTGATAGTGTAAAGGTCGACTTGACTATAGTGATGGGTATAATAATAAATTTAGCCGTGTAGTCCCTGCATAGAATTTGCCACTCCTTCCTTTCCCGTGGATGTTACATAAGACGACTAAGGAAACTAAATGGTCGAGGGAAGCGCAGCAGCGTCTCTCTTAAAACATCACCAAAAACCTAATTGCGGTTGCCAACTCGCCTGCCAAGCGTGGCAACTACTGGCAAAACCCCTCAAGAGGAGGCCTATGTTCAGCAGTGGACAGTTAATAGTTGATATGATGATGATGATGATAAATAAAGAAACTAGAAAAACCCAGAAACTAGGGGAGGATAATTTTCTTTCCTAAATATATTATTAGGTATTTACATTTCATATTACAAACATCTACGGGTATTTTGTTTTTGATGGGTGAAAATGGTATGGTAACCCCGCCTGCGCTAACGGGATACCCTGGCGGAGCACCAATAAAGAGTGATAGATGAGGATGAAAACAGGCCAGTTAGCCCATCATGATGAATTTATCAGAAATTAACCATGATAGTTTCCAGGGGAACTGCGAGGAGGCCAACCTGGTTGGGTATATTGCTAACAATGGGATTCTCAGTCTCCATTACTAACAATCCCTTTGCTCTCTATCTGTGGGTATTTATACCTAGCTTACATATTAGAAATCAAATAAACACTTATAAAGCAAATAATATTGGCTTTAGTACCATAATATCAATAAAGTTATGTACGTTTTATATAAATCGTTTTCCAATTTGAATGTGTTTGGAAACGTTCCGTCATTTCGGTGTTCATTACTCAAGGGAGGAACCATGGATAGGGAGTAATTTTATATTATTGAGATTACTTTTAAGTGTTTTTTTTTTTTTAATGTGCTTTTGCAGTAAGATCTGTTTTAATAGAGGTAGAACTTATTAGACAGTATAATACAATTGGCTTTTTATCTACCATGGAATGAAAAACAAGCTGACGGCCCACCTGCTGGAAGTGAAACATTTAAATTATTTTGCAAAATTTGAGTTAATTTCTCAAAAATCATGTTTGTTTAGGTTTTTTTATGCAACTTAGAATGGCAAACAAGCTAACGTCCCACCTGATGGAAAGTGGTAAAAGTCGCCTATAGACATGAGCAGTACCATGGACATAACAAAGTATACTGTTTCGTCCATGATATCCCATGCCATTCCTGCCCATGCGTTTCCATTCCTTAGAAGTTAGGCATTGTGTCTCTGTACTCTGTAAAATCACTGTCATATCTCACCCTTCAAACCGAAACACAGTCATGCAAACACGACTGTTTTACGGTAGAAACACGAATGGGACAGAGGTGCCCAAGCAAACGACTTTTGTACAAAGTCTCCCTCTGGTATGTTCGTTTAAGTATATTAATTTTACGCAGTTCTATAGAGTCTACTTTATTTCGTAAAAGTATATACTTGTAATTATAGGTAATACTTCATTTTGGTAGCTCGTTGCCCATACCTACTGAAGAGAAAGGTTATAATAACGGACAATTTATGACTGTCATATTGTGAGGTGCTCTGGTAAATAGACTTTTATACTTATAACACTTATTTACGATTATATTATTTTTATGCCTGCGTAATTTAATGTTGAGATAGTATCTTTCTCATTTAGTAATACTATCTATATATTCTATTATATTTACAACTCCTAAGTGACGTCATTTTCATCTTAAAACGACTAAAAATTCTTGGAAGTTTTTTAGAGTCTTATAACTTTTGCAATTAGGAATTACTACTTTATATTATTCTAGATAGCATGGTAATGTTTGTAACTCTAAAAAGACGTCATCATTATTTTTCATTTAAGCTGTTAACTGTCCACTGTTGAACATAAGCCTTCTCCATAAAGGGAGCCAGTAGTTGCCACGCTCGGCAGGTGGATTAGCAACAGGAGTTGGGCTTTAAGAGATGTTTTAAGAGGGATGCTGCTGCCCATCCCTTTACCGTTAAGTTCTCTTAGCCGTCTCCTACGATACCCACAGGAAAGGAAGGGGTGGCCTATTCTATACTGGGACTATAAGGCCAAAAAAGACATCATTGCGCAGATATTTTAATGTTATCATGAAAAAATGACGCTTATTTACAATCACATATCTTTTACATTTAATTAAACATTTATGTAAATAGGTATAAATTAAGTAATATATTACGCATGTTTGAGTAAGTGATAATACTATTCTATATTTAAAAGATAGCATTGCAATAGCTGAGATTAAAAAAAATATTTTATCACTTTAGAGCTGCGGCCTTAAAATTATTAAACGATGATATTTTTTGAAAGTCACAAGAGTTTTAATGAGCTTCAGTCTTCATAATCGGATTCTGATTCAAATATTTAATTCAGATTGGATTTAAAATGAAAACAAACTTTATGACGTTGCATTGCTCTTTTATAAAATTTCTGTGGCTACCTATCAGTTCTATCACCGAACCAATCCATTGTCACCATAATATTGCATTGTCATCCGACTTTTATGCATACTGACAACGGCAAGTTTCTGAAAAATGGATAATAAATGAACCGGAAAGACGTATGAGATGACATAAACAAAGCAAGTAGAATTAAATCTTCAAATAACAAGTGCATTTGACTACGCAAAGGAAAACGGATTGCCAATCGTAACAAAATTACTACGGGTCTGTCAAGGGATTACACCCTTTTTTTATGGTTTACATGGTTTACACCATATGGGGTAAAAAATATCAGGATCAGTCCATAATCGGCGATGTAACATAGTTATAAAAAGGAACACAGACGAATAAGAATTTTAATTCTATTAATATTATAAATGAGAAAGTTTGTAACGATGGATGAATGGATGGATGGATGAACTACTAAACAAGTTTTAATGAAATTTGGTACACGAGTAGATTGTATTCTAACTGAACATACAGAATACTTTATATGTATACTGATTTATGCAGGTGAAGCCGCGGAAAATAGTATTATAAATGTAAAAATTTGCAACGACAGATGGATGGATATTTGTTACTCCTTCATGTATCGCTAGCCATCGGCAAGGAATCCATCCTCACACCTTAGAACTAGAATAGACGCGTACAGTGCGATTTCAAAGAAGCTTTCTCCCGCGAACAACCTAAGTGTTCGTGTGGTTTTTTTTTAATAGATGATAATGAAATGGTAACTCCGTCTGCGCTATCAATATACATTGGCAGGGTACCAGTGATGGATGATAGATGAGCATAAAAGCAGATCAGTTAGCCCATCGTGACGAATGCAAGAAGTATTAATCATAATGGTTTCCAGGAAAAACCGCGTGGAGGTCGACCTGACAGGGCTTGCTTGCAATGGAGCCATTAATCCACATTACTAACAATTCCTTTCCCCCCGAACACTCAGGTTAAATGATCTTCCTGCCAAAGCTTTCCCTAGAGCATGGGGTTCTTCAAAAAGGGCTTATTAAAGTTTCTTAAAAATCTCTGGTGTTACAGGCGTCCATAGGCTACGGTAACCTAGTTTACCATCAGACGGGTCGTATGCTTTTTGCCGCCATAGTTGTATAAAAAAATGTAAAATTCAAATCGGATTTCAATGAAATTTGGTACACTGGTAGGTTATATACTAACTTGGCACATAGGTCAATTTATATAACTGATTTATAGTAATGAATAAGAACTTCCTCCTTTTGGAAGCCATTTAAAAAAATAACTACCATTCTTCAATTAGGCGAGATCGGATTTCCCTCCTTAAATGAAATGTAACTAATCTTTAATGCTAATGACGTCTAATTGATCAAGAATTCTCTGACAGTTCAATTTATTTCCCTTTGCAATTCTTCGGCATTATCTTTTGTTGGATCTTTGTTGTTGTTTTCATTGTTTATAGTTCGGTTACTATATATAGAACTGTTCCCGTCTCTAAAGTAATTAATAACAATGAATCTATTTAAACAAGGCCAGCGTCGGTTCAATTCCATCAATTTGTAATAATTACATTACATTCTATTTGAAAATGGGTTCCAGTGTCTAAAATGGGATAATGATAGGTTAAAACGGAATAAATAACTTGACTCAATTAATCAAAACAATGACAACAAATAATAATATTGTATAAATATACATAAAGATATTAATTTAACGTTAGTTATTAGAGTTGTAGAAAATCTATTATATCTATTAAATGTAAAAACAACAAAAGATACGCGAATAAAACTCCAGAAAATAGCTGTTAATATCTACAGTATACAGGTACTATAAAATATTATCAAAAATGTATAAAATATTTAAATAGAAAAACTATCAATATATTCGTCCACTTCATTCAACAGTCCTCTACAAGTCATTGCTACAAAAATGTACATAATAACCGTTTAAAATATTTCTGTATTTGTTACAGGTGCAGTGCAGTGAAATAAATGTGCCCAGTGTGATGGAAAGTGCATTGTGCGTGAGTGTGGTGACGTGGTGAGGTGGCTGTGCCGCGAGGTAGTGAGGCCGGCCGCGGGCGCAGTCATGCCGCTAAGTTGACGGCTGTGGCCGGCCGCGCCTCACGCCGCTCAACCACTCGCGACACAGGTTAGTAACACTGAAACAAAACGTAATAAATTATATCATTGAAATTTATGTTTAATGATTAAACGTAGTAACAAAAATATCAACTAAAAAATATATCAATTTGAGAAAATATATTAGCCGGGATGAATCACAACATTCTGCAAGTTTTTGTCAACGTTTCTTGGTCACTGTTTCTTAGTCAGCACATTACATTACATTAGAATATTGTTTAGCCAGCTATAAGAAATTTGATTTTTAAAAGTAATATTTTATATCTAAACCTACATCATATAATTAAGAAAATATATAACTCGCTATAGTGTTGTCTATTCATTCAACGGTTTTTAAAATATTTCGTAATGGAAAGTGCATCATGAGTAAGTATAGTGGTGTAGTGAGATGCAGTGTCGCGGGGGAGTGAGGCTGGCCTGGGCGCAGTCATGCCGCTAAATTAATGGCTGTGGTCAGCCATGCCTCACGACACTCAACTACCTGCGACAAAGGTCGGTGATCAGAATACTAGAAAGAAATTATTTAAATCATAATCAAATAGATATTACGTACTATATTGAACGTATATAGTATAATATATTAGATGGAATGAACCTACCTGGATACGATAAAGCCATAAAAACTGGATATTTATGTTTCACTAATATTTTGTAAACATTTTTTGGTTACTATATTATATACCAGAATATCATTCAGCCAACTAAAGAAAAAGAAACTAAAAAGTAATATGTTATCTCTGAAATACATTAAAAAGGTTAAGAATAGACATTCATAGAAACTGATAGACTTTGTTAATTCATTCTAAGGTTTTTAAAACGAGATGTAATAAAGAGGGTATTGTGCGGTTATATGGTGTTGTGAGGTGGTTGTATCGCGAGGGAGTAAGGCCGATCTTATTTACTCAACTACTCAAAAAGAAATCAGAATATTAAAACAAAATGTACGTAACTGTATGTAAATTTATGTTAATTTGAACATTTATATGTTCTACAAACAAATTATTTTTGGAGAACAGATAGATGGAATGAACATAAATGAATGTAACAAAGTCAACTGTAAAATTTTTATTTTTTTCAATATGTTTTTATCATCGTATTACTCCATTATGGTCCTGCTTGAGATTTATTTTCGTATATACTGACTGAACTCAGGCTTCGTAGCGATATTTCTGAAACATCTCCATTCATGATGATTGATTGGGTCATCGCCAATAAAGAGATAAACATACTTCACATTTATAATATTAGTAGAGATTCTGTAGCTTTTTAAGTCACTATATTTTTTTGATTCATTAAAAAAGCGATTGCAATTTTGACAATAAGAATTACTAAAATCGTTACACAATTGGTGAATATACAACTAACATAATATAATAAAAAAAAAAAATATGCAGTCGAACTTAGAATTTCACTCTTTTTGAAGACAGTTAGTTTATGGAAATCACATGGGAATGGATCTTATTTTATTAAGTTTTCTATTCGACAGTCGCTACCCTTTGACCCACAGCGTTGGAACGATTGATGTGTTTACATTTGATGGTCTGTGAGTCAATAGCAATTCCATGTTGTGTCAACATATCGCAGTGTATCGAGCCCGAGACTGTTTTAATATTTGGAGTGGACTTATGTTTAATATTAATAATAAGTATCTTACGTCGATATGCTTGCTTAACAAATTACAATGTAATGTAATATACAATGTACAAATTATACTGTTCTAATTAAACAGGAAGAGTAATCAGTAAAACACTATCTTTATATAATTAAAAAAACAATCGAATACAGGAAGGATAAATTCATCATCAATGACATATAAATCTAATATATAAAATTCTCGTGTCGCGGTGTTTGTTACCAAACTCCTCCGAAACGGCTTTACCGATATTTATGAAATTTTGTGTGCATATTGGGTAGGTCTGAGAATCGGCCAACATCTATTTTTCATACCCCTCAATGATAAGGGTGACCTACCCCTAATTTTTTTTATTATTTTAATTTTTTTTTATTTTAATTTTATTGATTTAGCATTGAAAAATACATACAAATTCAAATTTTCACGCTTTTACGATCAACCCCTGTTTTTTAATCGCGATTTTTATATAGCAATAGGCTTGCAAGATGGCAATCGAATATAATAATTGTAGTAGGATAAATTTTCATGTATAATTCTCGAAATAACGTATACAGTAAAACAACGTTTGCCGAGTCAGCTAGTAGGTATATAAATTTCTCTTCGGAGCGCAGTTTTAAATTAAAATAATTTCATTATTACTGAATATTTGATCATTTATTGGCATGTTTTATTGCGATTAAAAACGCTATTGTTTATGTTAAAAACAAAATTATAATTTATGAAGTAAATAAAAAAAAATTAAATGACAATTTTGCACTGATTTTCTCATTCGGATAAGAAATGTCTTAAATCCAATATGGTAAAACGTAACTCTTGCGAGAGACATATTTTGAATGGGATTACATGTTACGTGACTACTGTGGATAGTATGACGAAGTGGAATAGAGGCACGCTCTCTCTTCTCGGGGGCTCTTCACGATAGCACGATCCGCTGATTTTGCATTCGACTTGTGAGTTATAAAGTTGTTGAAAACAGAAATGCACGCTCCCTTATGAATTGTATACGAAATAATACAAAATATGCCTTGCTCATTATTTAGCATTAGTTTGTATTGCATGTTTGTAGTCGAATATTCTATTATGTATATGTATCAATGTAACATAATTTTATTAAAATAAAATGATTCTAATCTCTTCTAATATTTTAAACCCTTTATTCATACAGACGACAAACTTCTCATAAACATATTTTAGATATTTAACTGTTTTGTCTCTTTCTTTTGTGTTAAATTCTCAGGTTGAATGAAAGCTATTAGTTAGTTTTTACCTAATGGTTAGCTGGTAGAGAATGTCATATGGCATTAAGCTCGCCACTTGTATAAAGTTTTATTGTACAATAAAGAATAAAAAAAAAAATAAAGTGACAAAACAAGTTACTTTTTATGAATAAGGGGGTAAACATGAAAGTGACTTAGTTACTTCTTGACACATTAACGACTCAACAATTAATTTTGGTAATTACAGTATTTGGTTACTAGATTATTTTTATCATAATTAATTAATATCATCCTAGTAGGGAGGAAAGGGATTGTTAGTAATGGAGACTGAGAATCCCATTGCTAGCAATATACCTAACCAGGTCGACCTCCTCGCGGTCCTCCCTGGAAACTATCATGGTTAATTTCTGATGAATTCATCATGATGGTCTAACTGGCTTGTTTTCATTCTTATCTATCACCCTTCACTGGTGCTCCGCCAGAGTATCCCGTTAGCGCAGGCGGGGTTACTATAACATTTTCACCCATCAAAAAAAAATCACCTAGTCATGTGGATGAAGTTAAGTTATAAATGTCTGAAACGTACCGATAATTTCTGCAAAATCAACAAAATTTCCCCAAAGAATACATATAGCAATATATGGTAGTTACATTACTTAATTTAATATTGTTATCATTTAATTAGCTTTTGGCCCGCTATTCGTACGTATAGATTGCGGAAATAGGAAAATTAAGAAAATAACGTCTAGATGATGTATCGAGACAAAATATACATTAGGTTTTAAGGTAGACCTCCAAGAATACAACTTTGAGAACCGTATTCAATTTAATGCAGTAAGTTTTGGGTAATGCCGGAACAAACATATATACATACAGATTGACAGATATACCATACTTATAAAAAGTATTGTTTTGATACCTATTGCTGTTATTAAGGACCCTTATATATTTTTTTAAAATCTTGCATGCACAGATATCGTCTAGTTATAATTTTATTATTTATTTAAGACTTTATCGATAAAAAGCTTCATACACACACATATGTATATGTATATGTATATATGTATATATATATATATATATATATATATATATATATATATATATATACAGGTTTTATTTCTTCTAGCCAGCTCTATTTCAGGCCATATCTTTGACCTACACATTTGACCTTTGACGACATAACATCTAGTGTTTCCTTTATCCTAATTTTATTATATTAGTTATTAATATCGCACAGCTCCTTCTGGCCCCAAGTAAGCAGAGCCTTTACTGTGAGTAGTAAATAATTGATTGCTTTTTAATAAATGTATAGATGTAAATAAACAAACAATATGAACATTTGAATTTGCAATAATAGAAACATTTTATATTAATTTGTGTAGAAAATTCGTAATTTTATATACATATAGCTGTCAACAGTTATTGATTTTTGTTTATAGTGACCGTATCTATCTACGGAAACGGTCTTTTATGGCTACATACTGATTCGAAAGTTTCTGAAGAAATTCATACTTCACCAAAAGCAATTATAACTTGTTTAATAAATAATATTTATTGGGTTATGTCAATTAGTAACTCAGATTACATCTGTCTGTAAACTTTCGTTTGTATTTTAAAAAGTCAATTTGTATATATAAATAATATTCAAATAATTATTTATTCAGTCAAGTTATTCGGTACTGAATATTAACTACTAACCGAGGTTTTCCCAAGAGACTACAGCATGGGGTTCTTCAAAAGGGGGGTAAAGAGGTTTCTTCAGGGTCAGCAACGCACGCGTAATACCTCTGGTATTGCAGGTGTTCATAGGCATAACGACTTACCATCAGGTGGGCCGTATGCTTGTTTGTCACCTTAGTGGTATAAAAAAAATCTTAAATACGTTAAAATTTCAACCTTTCCACAGTTTGATTTAATGGGATCGTACCTACATCTCTTTACTATTAGGTTTGACTACATTAACTACTACAATGCAAGATTACTAATGCAAGACTAGTATTTAATTTTTTAATATAAATATATTCTATATATAATTGATTCATCAAAAAAGAATATTAAGGTTTCTTCAGGGTCGACAACGCGCGCATGACACCCCTATTGTTGCAGGCGTTCGTTGGCTACAGTGACCATTTACCATCAGACGAGCTTTATGCTTGT